CTGGTACATGCACATGCCAAAATATACAGTAGGGTACATAAAGTAAGAACACAGTTCATTTAGTTTGCAAAAATATTTCACTATATTACAGTTTTTACTGTATTTTGATTAAATAAATTCAGCCTGGGTAAGCACAAAAGACATAAAAAAACTTAACCCTTGTGTGTCAATTAAAAAAAAGTTACACATGGGTCCATAGAGGACAAAAATGTCCATGTCAAAAAACTGTCATAATAATTTGAAGCTTGGGAGCACAGACTTAAGTTTGGTCTCATTTTAAAGAAGACCCATGGCAGATTATTGTTGAAGTAAACAAAAGTAGGCCAAACCTGAAAAAATGGCACCATCTGGTAAAAAATAGTAAAAGAATTAATTTTGAAGCCTTGCCAACAGAATGAAAGCCTAATAACAAAAATTGCATAATTTTACAGTTAAATGGCACTGTGATAAAAAATAGCAGTTTCAATGGGTTTCAATGGGGACATTTTTGTCCTTAAGGTCCTGAGAGGAACTATTTTGTGTGCCTAGTGCAAATTAGATTTATTAAAGGAAATGGAAGCGAAATAGTAAAATTCCAATAAAAATACACACCTGTGCCAAAATGTATGCAGTTGGCAATAACACAGGCAAAATTATCAAAAAAACAAAACTGACAAGGACAAAAATGTCCAAAAGGTCGCACAAGGGTGACCTCTTTTGAATGGCGGAGTAATTTGTTATATAAAAATGTGTAAAAAATAGAAAATACAAAATATAAGTCTTTTGGACCCCACTTTACAAGAACATACGAGGAAGTGTGTTTTATCAATGTGTGTTTTCACTTTTAAAGGTTCAACCTGTGGGAGAGAGCCTGGAAACAAATGACCCATCAGTCAAATGACCATCTGGCCTCTCTCACCCTCAGTGTGGATATAAACACATCAAACCCCCATGTGCAAGCTGACAGAAGTAAGTCCTAAGTCCCTTATAACCTCCTTACTTGTTTTCTCTTTCCCATAGTCATTCTTACTAAGAGACACTGTATAGTTTCCTCAGCTTCAGACGCCATGCCCAGAGACTTTTGATGGACAGTATGAAGTCTGAAATTCTGATGTTCAAAGGTTTGAGATACATGAAGAAGCGGGTAAACAAGATACTTCATCACACCTACAGTGACCACAAAAAGCATCTAGATAAATAAAAATATCTGAATTATATCATTTTTAAATAAATTCTTTAAACATCAAATTTAAAGAATGAGCACATGCACACTTTGAAAACTTGAACTGAATGGAGCTGGATGATGATATTGTTGTCTTTTGTAGAGCTGCTTTATAGCTGAATCGAATTTGTCATAACTGATGAATTTTGCAACATCGACACTGTAATTGAACTGAAATGAATCAACATCAATCTGACACGAGCTGAATAATGACACTATTGACTTTTTAGAGCTGCTTTACAGCAAAATTTGTCATTGATTCTGTTACCTTTCTGTTTATTACCATGAAACTGCTTTGAAACAATCTATATTGTACAAAGCGCTATATCCACTCCTGCACACACACACACACACACACACAATACTGCTTAAAAAGAACTAGAAACCACAACCTTCACGGTCTTTCACAAACATCAATACTCAGGTAAAAATAAAGCTGACCCATAATTCCTCTATCGTTATGACTATGACAAGCGGGTGTGTTAGAGGGTCACAGCGATGAAAGGTCACATTGAACAGTTCATTCAGACAGAGGTGAACCACAGGGCTCTAGCGAGCAGTTGGCAGCACAGTGTGGTGCAATTCACACGCCGTAATGAAAAACAGAGCAACACCTGTACTGTGATGTTAACTGATGTTTTCTGTGAGAGATTAAACACAAGAAGGCTTGTTGATACTGTTTATGAAAAATATTGAGTTTGCATTGTTATGGAAGTGTTATTTACGTATCATAGTGTTATTTTCGTATTATAGTTTTGATAATATTTAGAATTTGGTTTTATTTTTATATTTTTTGTTTTCACTTTAAACTAATTTTAGCTAAAGTTTTAGTCATTTTGTTGAGTTTTTTATATGTATATGCAGTTTTTATTTATTGTTATTTATTCATTTTAGCTAATTTAGTTTTTGAGAATCGCTGTCTATTATAAGTTTTGTAAATATTTTTTATTAGATTTTATTCTTATATTTTCTGTTTCACTTTCAGTTTAATTAATGTTTTAGTCATTTTTATTAGTTTTTGTCTTTGTGATGTCTATATAGTTTTTAAATTATTTTTTATTTATCCATTTTATTCTATTTAGTTCTAATTAAAATTTTTGTTTAGTTAGTTTAGTTTAGTACTTAACTTAAACTAAATGAAAATGAGAAATGCTGCCTTGGCAACTAGCTAAAATCAAATATATTTTTAATATTTCATATTTAGTATTGAACGTTTATTTCAAGTAATCGAAATGTTTTTCCGTTCATACCAAGGACAATAACTATAAAAAATTATAACAATAATGATAATGATAAAGATATATTTTTACAAATCCTTCTAATTTTATGAGAATAGGGGATGTTCACACCACAGCTATAATGATAATGACACAGGAGAACAATATTGTTGAAATCTCTTTCAGAAGATTTTTTTTTTGGGCTGATTAATGATAAAAAACATATTGATAGCCAATCAGATCGCCCAGACTTTTAAAAGCTCAAGCAATTAAAGCAGCAGACGACATTTATTTAGTTATTATTGTCCTTTTTTATAAGAAAAATAAGACACATCAAACAGTTTTTCTCACCAGGTCTTTGTCTATGACTGGCAGGATGGTGAACTGCTCCTCTGTTTGTGGGCTGCCCAGGTCTTGGCTGCTCCTGGCAGGTGGAGGTGGGGGTTTGCCCTCCAGTCTACGGACCTGCCGCTCTCCCTTGGCCGTTCCGGTCGCCCCGGCGCTCAGCTTACGCACTGGATTGGTCAGCCATTTCTTCAGGGTGCTGACAGAGTGACGGGAGCCTGGGGAGTTTGGGGCTGAACTGCCCGAAGCCTGTGGTGGGAGAGAGGCCGCCGAGGTGGAGATACTGCCCTCACTGCCAGCGGCCGAGTATGAGTCTGTACAGACAGAGAGAGGGAAGAAAGCAAGAGAGCGAGAGAGAGAGGGAAGAGGAATTAAGTTGGGAATAACCATTTGAAAGGACAACAGCAGAGGGAAAACAAAATAAATCTGTCTTAAACATAAACACACTCTACATAAACACACTATAACACTAAATATGGCCCATAGCTGCGGCATTGTGAAGCATTTTTCCCATCTCAGGCTTCAGGCCTGTGACTAGTTTCTTCAACTACAGGCACTTTTGACCCTGTGGACTTTCAAATACACTACTGTTCGAAAGTGTAGGGTCAATTATTTAATGTTTTTGAAAGAAGTCTCTTTTGCTTAACAAGGCTGCATTTGTTTGATAAAAAAAAGTAAACAGTAAAGTAGTAGCTAGTATTACAATTTATAATAACTGTTTTCTCTATTTTAATATATTTTAAAAAGCTATTTATTCCTGTGATGTCAAAGCTGAATTTTCAGCAGTCATCATTCCAGTCTTCAGTGTGACATGATCCTTCAGAATTTTTTCTAATATGCTGATTTGGTGCTCAAGAAATATTTCTTATTATTATCAATGTTGAAAGCAGTTGTGATGTGCATTATATCTCATTATTAGTTCCATAAAACCTAAGTAACTAATCACATTGAGTCTAGGTTAATATAAAAGGAGTTTATTGTGCATCAACTGGTTTAGATAATGACACACTTGGCTTTATTTGAAGATCTTTCTGCTTAGATAGAGTGCATCTTTATGAAGCACAAGGATGCACTAAAAGAGTGGCGTACAATTATAGTTTATGGATAAACACTTTAATGGAGATAGATGTTTTTGGAAAGTAATATACTGATTACTAACTCTCTCATTTTGAAAAATAAATAAATAATAATAATAAAATTGTGTGCATATGCACCTGTTGTGTGTCCAATGGAAATTCTGCATGAGAATCTTTAAGTACGCAACTTGCACGCTGTCATTACTGAATGCGTGTTTGTGTGTTAGTATATGACCCGTGCAGACAGGCCTCGTGCCACACATCCCAGTTAGTCCCACATGAGGACTTCTCAAACTGGTTTAGGCCTTCTCTACACTGGTTAGCCAAGCTGTCATGTGACTCTGGAGAGCTAAATATAGACCCCGCCCCAAAGTCGAGGCTCAAGCGGAGATTGTGGTGCTGGTGTCAGAGGGACCCTGGGAAAAGAACGGGCGGGGGGCGTGCACAGGAAGCATACTTTAATCCTTGTCCACAGGAAGGTCACCAACTTTTTTTGTTCTCTCTCTATGTTGTGCCTCACGCCCCCCACTACTCTCTTCCTGACCCAGAACAGTGGCTGTCTGAGGTTATCAACGGCAGCATGGACAGACTTCGCATGTTTCAGTCTCTCACCCGTCTAATCCAGCCCGTTTGACCTCTTGATTCAGCCGAACGCAGCCTGACAGGACGGCACAAACACACACACACATTTTGCCCAGAGACACGAGGTGCTGTGACCAGATGTCAGGCTGTGTCAGTACCTGCTACATACCATTGCTAAACCAGTATTTATCTAATAGTAATTGTGATGCTAAGCTTTAGTTTCCCTTTTTAAATGTTACTTCAACAGACTGAAAACTCAGTAGGCAGCTTTAATCACAAATTAGACATGCATTTTTTTAGTGTGAAATGTGATTTACATTGGTTTTAATTTCAACAAAAACAAACAATAAAACAAATTAAAATAAACAACTATCTGGAATACTAGGAGGATATTTTTGAGTCTTTATTGCACATCCAAAAAACTGTTTTCGTTTGTGTAAGAAAACTTTTTGCTTGCAAGCAAAGCATTTTCTTATACAAACAAAAAGTGTTTTGAGAGCAAAACTTCATTGAGACTTGAAAATATTTAAGGGAAAAAAGTCTCGTATGGACTCGTCAAACGACAGTTTGACGTTCCTCTTCAGGAACTCGAGCTGCGTCGGAGGATGCTTTGGGAACGCCCTTCAGCGTGACCAGCTCTGAACCACGTGTGTAATCAGTCCAATGGATGGGCGAGACGTCACGGGCGGGGTGACGTAGCAACCAGGAAGCTTAAAAGCCTGTGCGGTGAAACCGGCGTCAGCTTCTAGGAGTGAAGCAAGCACTGGCAGAGATGCTGAAAGTATGGCCCCGAGACGCAGCATCTCGTTCCCTCGAGGAACCACGGTTACATGCGTAACCTGAGACGTTCCTCTTCAGGAACTCGAGCTGCGTCGGAGGAGAGGCTCGCTACCTCTACGGAGGTCTCTAGAGCAGCTAGTACAGTCGTCCCCTGCCAGTCCGCCGCTTCAGGGCACCGAATTAGCCGCTCTGGTTACACCAGAGGTCAGTCTCGAGAGACTGATTCCCTTAGTAGACTATTTGGCAGCGTGAAAACTCCATCTTCAGCTGTTATGAGTCCTCTGATCTCCCTTCGCCTCTACGGGTCAAGGCTCACTCTACCCGAAGTGTGGCGGCCTTTAAGTCCTTCTTGGCAGGTGTCTCAATGCAGGACATCTGCGACGCTGCAGGATGGTCCACGCCCCTAACCTTTGTCTATGGCTTAGACATGCGAGCCACTCCTGGCTCTTCTGTTCTCTCGCCCTAGCTGTGCAGACTTCCACACTAGGCGAAGATTTGAAAGTCTGGCGGCATGGGCATACTCGTTCCCAAAGCGTCCTCCGATGCAGCTCGAGTTCCTGAAGAGGAACGTCTCAGGTTACACATGTAACCATGGTTCCTCGAGGGAACGAGATGCTGCGTCTCGGGACCATACTTTCGGCATCTCTGCCAGCGCTTGCTTCACTCCTAGAAGCTGACGCCGGTTTCACCGCACGTGCTTTTAAGCTTCCTGGTCGCTACGTCACCCCGCCCGTGACGTCTCGCCCATCCATTGGACTGATTACACACGTGGTTCAGAGCCGGTCACGCTGAAGGGCGTTCCCAAAGCGTCCTCCGACGCAGCGTCTCGTTCCCTCGAGGAACCATGGTTACATGCGTAACCTGAGACGGTTTACAGTTAGAATGTCTTGATGGACTGATTACAAATACCCAGCTTTTCGCTTCACAGGACGTTAATTGATGTACTGGAGTGATTTGCATTACTTGTGGATTATTGTGATGTTTATATTAGCAGTTTGGACTCTCATTCTGACAGCACCCATTCACTGCAGAGGATCCATTGGTGAACAAGTGATGCTACAGTAAGTAATAGTTTCGATGAAGAAACAAACTCATCTACATCTTGGATGACCCTTAAATAAATTTTCAGCAAATTATTTTGACGAAAGAGAATATTTGTCTAAGGGACCCGAGGCATAAGCTATTAAAATGGCCTAGGAGTCTCTCAGACTCCAGATAGAACAGAGAACAACACAGAGGTCCGACTAATTTATTAAGCTAATGTTTTGTGTAGCAGAACTGACCTAGAATTTGTGCTGCTACACAGAGAAACAACCCCTGTCGAGATCTAATCCACAAACTTTCCACTTTCGTCGGGGAATAATCAGTGTAATAATGGAGCTGACCTCAACACAAATGGAATTCAGCAGAACCTAAATGGGAAGGATTATAACTCTTATTGCTGGCTAAACAGCAGGGCAAAGCTGCTTTCCTGATACCGTGCTGCTGTGTTCTCAGAGAGGAACAATTCTCTGTGTGAGCAACATGCCAGACTGTTCCTCCTGTGTCTCCACATGGGGCACAAAAGAAAGGAATGGTTTCATTCCGCACTCAGTATGGACCCGACGGATTAAGAAAGAGTGGCAGTTATGAAAAAGCAAAAACCAATTCATTACCCTGTTTTGTTTTTTAAAGCAGGGAACTGAATATTATCAGGAACAAAAGGCTGTTGGGAACCGGCAGCGACATCTTACCGTATCCTCCACAAATCAGCGGTGACACCCACATGAAACAATGCGTTATCCATCACTATATCCCACATGCAGTTTTAAAAAATCCAAGTATTTGTTGAAGTAACGTGATGCAATGCAGCAGACCATGCAAATGGAGACCCAAGGTTTTTTGAAAAACTGTAAAGCACACCTTGTAGAGCGACGCTGAAATTGCAGGAAGAGATGCTCCATTTTGATTGCTGGTAAACAGAAAAGCTGAATTGATTTGAAAGCTGTTATGCTTAAGTGCTGGTGGTGTGCATAGAGAGATCCTCTTAAATATAGCACTGACTGAGTGGTCAACACATTAGGACGGATTTTCCTTAATAGCTAGATAGCTTCAGTGAAGGGGAAACTAGAGAGAATATATCATGAGATTTCTTTATGCAATATCTTTTAAATCTGTTTCTGTACACGGTAATTAAACAGTACACCCTAGTTATTTTTTCCAGAATACACAGGTAGTTTTTAATGGGGGAAAAAATTACAAATGAGATATCTTAAATATCTCAGTTGCTTCTGAGATTAAATGGAGAGCAATAGATGAAGTAAGTCTCAGATTTTTGTGCTGACAAAAAGACCCTAGTAATCTCACTCTCCTCTAGAGATTAGGAGATGCCAGCAATTTTCAGAGATTCACAAATTGTCAAAGTCTGCAAAGAAAAAAATACATTTTAGTTAATCATATTAATTTCTGTTTGTTATTGTTACCAAAAACTAAAAACAAGCTATAAAATTATAAATAAATAAATAAATAAAATAAAATAAAATAACATTTCCTGGTCATTTAAATGATGAAAAACTATTTAAAAACCATTAAAAATATATATTTTTTGGTAATAGAAATGGAGATTAAATATAAATATTAGATGAAAAACTTAAATAATTTAAATGAAAATTCGAAATGTTGCTTTGGCAATTAACTGATATTCATATAAAATTAAGTATTAAAAATAAATAAAATAAAATAAAGTACTAATTATAAAGTAAAATTACTAAAACTAAAAGTAAATAAAACTTAATTAAAGCTATATGGAAATATTTCTATATAAAAACAAAAACTAATAAAAATTCAACTAATGTCATACTAAAATAACACTGAATTAGACATGACCAAGAAATCCA